GAAATGGAATGCTAGGGATTCTACAGTTGTGTGCTTTTAAAGAATGGAAAAAATGCTTGTTATGACATTAAAAAAAAAAAAAAAAAAAAACCACCCACAGGCTATAAAATTGTAAGTGAAGGACAACTTCATGGTTTTTAAACAGACATAGAAAAGGACCAGAGGAGATATGCCAAATCATAAACAAACATTAATAATGGACTCTAACTCAACAAATGAAGATTTATAATCAAATGTAATTTAGAACCATACTATCCATAAAGTTGGTCTCAAGATTATTTGGTTACCTTCTTGAAAAACATGCTCAAGGTAAAGAATCCAGTTTTATTTTTCTTAAATAAATGATATCTAAAGGTCATATGACCAACATTTATTGTATCAACAAGGACAGCACATTTTGCCAACTGGCACCATTTTAATGCTACCAGTAAAGCCAAATAAACAAAATAACTACATTAATATTTCACCTAAGATAGTGCAACCATAAGAACCTATTGTACAAAATTCTTAGCTATTTCTTCAGAATTCTCTTGCTGCATTTACCAGTCACGGGTGCTTGCAAAAGGACATGAGCTTTACAAAAGGTTTGTTGTTGTTGTTGTTGTTGTTGTTAGTTTTTATCTTTTCTGACAAGCATTTTGAGTAGACATTTTTGAGATTTACCACCTATCACTTGACTTTTAGAAATATTGACTGAAGACGTCTAGTTTCCTCCCCCTTTTCCCTTAACTTGACATTTCCTAATAGCAGGTAGAAGCTTGGAATTCTCACTGTCCTCTATCTAAACATGACGGCTAAATGGGCTGCTGCCTCCCTGAGCAGCCAACTGCTCACTTTCGCCATCTCATCTTGGAGACCTGCTCATGTCTCTTAAGAATGCTTTCCTTCCAAAGTGTCAGGACAGAGCTCCCCCCTTCTACTTGAATATTCTCTCCTTTTATCTGTGCTGTGTCTCCATTCCTTAATGGCAAAAATGCTTTGAAGCTTTTGGCTGAATTGTGACCAAACTCAAAAGCACAAAGCTTTTGCAGACAAAATCAAATACCTTTCCATCTGTGTCCACCTCCAAAAGACTGCTTTGTTCAAAGGGTGGGCTATGGCAGGCACCAGAGCACCGCTTTTCTACAATGGCCAATTCAGTAAACTCTTAAGACAGACATATGAGTGGTAAATCTAAGTAGGGAAAAAGAGGCTTCCTGTGAAAATATAAGAACATGTATACCCAAATAACTGTAACTGCTCTCTCTGAGAGCAATCCATTTTTTGAATCAAAATATTTAAGCAATGGTTTTGGACACAGTTTATCCGCCCAGTTTAAAAAAAAAAAAATCCATTCTGGTATTTCTATCCAGGACTCCTTCCCCTCCAAGAAAGATCATTAGTGCAGGTGCTGGTCTAGAGCAAGAGAGGCAGAGAGCCTGGGAAAAGGGCCTTCAGGGATAGGGTAATGTTGGAAGCTAGGGGAGGCTTTCTATGCCTCTGAAAGCAGACAGACTAAGTGTATTTGTGGGTTACCCACCTGCTGTAATTGGCTGAGCACCATAAATAAGTGTCAAGTCACCAGGAGTCACAGCAGCCTGCTCCAGTAAGCAGTTAAAGAATCAGTATTTGTAATGAGTGCAAAATAAAGCACTGAAACCCATATTTCCATGAGTAGATTCTCTCTGGACGAAATGTCATATCTGAGCTCTAATTCAGTACTTCCCAAAGTGTACTCCACAGCACACCTGCTTAAGAGATAATTAATGGTGTACCTTGAAAGGAAGGTTCACTGGTCAAGAGGAGTTTGGGAAACAGAGTTAAATAGCTTACTTCCTAGCAAGGCTCCCCAATCTCTGACTGAATTGGGACTCTGCATGAGGGAGCTAGAGGTGTAACATTGGAAGACCACATTCTGGGAGGCATTATCCCAGCCAAGGGACCAGGCTTTGACCTCACTAGGCTACTACTTCACAGGGCAAACTGTCAAACCTATGTTGGGTCCAGAGTGTCTAATACACAGAATGAACAAAGAACAGCTCTTCACCTAGAGCTGGAATTTCCTAAAAATCCACTTGATTGCACTGCTGTTTCACAGCAATTTCTCTGTAATCTAATTAGAGCTGCTAAAGGCAAAGGTGCTTGGGCATGATAGACTGTCATAGCAGTCTGCCTCCCCCATTTAAAGGAATACAGAATGTTTGGTGCCAAAGATGCTAAAAATAAATTTTGTCTAAAAGACCTCGTTGGCTGATCCTGAAGGAGTGGTCAATACTAATGACATAATCACAATGGAAGGGCTGTTAATAGCCAGCCATGGAGAGAATTTAGGTTTCCTGTTGTGGAATATGTGGGGCTGGGTTACTATATACACATGTGTGCACACATGTATCTACCATACCTCACACATGTCAACCCTCTTTGCATATACACTCCTATAAACATTACCACCATTCACTTATCACTCAGAGAATAAAGCCAAGTTATCTAAACCCTCTGCTCATATTCAGTGTGCCCCAAGCCTATCACTCATACCTGGAGTACGTCTTCCTACCCACTGCCACTTCCTTATTTGAAGGAAGTATCCTCTCCCACCTACCATGCCCCTAACCGATGCCTCCTTTACTCCATCTTCCACTATCAGAGTGCTATTTCCAAACATGAGTGCACCCATGTCCCTTGTCTGTCTCCTCAAAACAGAGCTCTTGACAGTCACTGAAGGTGCTTAGAGACCCTAATCGTAGAAGATAACACCTGCATTCCTCAGATCGGCTCTTCTGCCTCTCCAGCCTTGACCCCTGCTGTCCCCCTGCTACCTTAAACCAGCCACCTAGTCACACTGGGCTATCTGTGGTCTCTAGAGGAAGCCTGCTTTCCATACTTCCATGGTTGCCTACACCCATGTACCAAGCACATGGTCTCTCATCCTCCACCCCCCTCAGCCTATTCTAGTTGGGCAACTCCTTTTCCACCTCAAGTGGACTTGAACTTTTTCCTATTCCTGCCCCATCTCACCCCATGGCTCCTCTCCACACATAAACCTTATTCATACTAGGTCTGCATTATTATTATTATTTTTCTTTTGCAGTGCTGGGAATGGAACCTATTGCCTGGTGCCTCCCGGGCAAGCACTCTGCCACTGAGCTACATCCCCAGCCTGCAATACTTATCATATAGCTCTTTCCATCTGAGCTTTACAGCACTCCATTTTATTTATTTATTTTTACCATTTTCAAAACTTGAGACTGACACAGAAAATGCTTAGTGACGTGAAACACATGAAGGATTAAAAAAAAAAACTTCTCTGAAGGAAGGGTTAATTCATTATAACAGAGCCTCTGAACATCACGTTGTCAGCTCAGGCTTATGGGGAAAGGAAGCCTGTGTGACAATTAGGGACAAGACAGGTTCCAAAAAGCCCTGAGGAGGCAGGCACCAAGCCCCCTGCTCCACCTCTGGAAATGACAGTTTGAATGTACTTAGTGAAAATGGATTTGTCTAGGTCCTAAGTACATATAGTAATATTAACTGCCCTCAAAAAGCCCAGGCATGACATTGGGAGCTTGCAATACCCTTTAAAGTTATTAATCCACTTTACATGGTCACATGACCACCGTGACGGAAGAGTGGAAAAGGGGCAAGTGAAAAAGGATCTGGGGCAGTCCTTGCTCATGGGGATGGGTGTTTAGCCTGTGTCATGGTACTAAGGTCATCAGGCTCCATTCTAGGTGGTGGAGGTGGATGTGCCCACCAATCAGTTCCTTTATTTTAACTGTCCAAACTTACAAAGTCAAGTGTTTGCTGTTTCAATTTCTAAATGCAAATCCAGACTGAGTTTTGTTCCCCTCCCCCATAATGGCAAAAATGGGGCCATTTTCTCAGTAGACACTAAGGTTTGTATGTTAGTTTCTAGCATTAATCATTGTTTACTGAACAGCAATAAAAACCATTAGAAATTGACAATCTTGTTCACCAGTTTCATCTCCACATATGCCCAGGTAGGTACAAATCACCCACAGTTCATAACTCCTTATATAAAGAGGAATACCATAAATGGTGGTCAGTATTCATCCTGAAATACAGGATACAGCCTCAGTTCTTTCCTTTCGGCATTAGGGAAAAAAACCAAAGTGGTGTAAAGGATGTTACAGGATCAATTGATAAAGCTAGAATATGGATGGTAAAGCAATGTACCAATATTTCCAAAAAGGACAGCCTGATTGAAAAGGGCAAAGAAAAGCTGGTTTCAAATGTGGATAGCAACTTCTCACCCTGGTGTATCAGGCGTGCCCGTCTCTCTCTCTCAACCAACATCACCCAGTTCTCATAACCTCTCTAAGGGGAAAGCATTCCTGCTTCCCATCCAACTGAAGCAAAGGTGCACAAAGGTTAGACAGACTGGCCTAGAATGCTCAGCTCCCTACGCGACAGGCAGGCCCAGCAGTCACACCCAGAAAGCCAAGAAGCCGGCGCACACACAGGAGGCAACTCAGCAGCGGGGCTGCACACCCCCAGATCCACTCCAGAATGCAGAACAGCGTGACCAGGCACGCCACTTCCTGTTGCACGGGATCAAGCCACCACAGGTGCTCTGCATTAAGCTTCTAAACCAAGCACAGAGCCAGGAGACCCACGGAACACATACCACAGGCTGTGGTGGGAGGGGAGGCAGGGAAAGCCATCTCTGAGCTGCTGCATGGGGGCCGACTTTTAGATGTTTCCCACCACCTTTGAGAGGCATGCATAGACGCTTCCAGATTAAAACACAGCACAAACAACTTCAAAAGCATGACAGATGTCTATGAATATCTGTGCCGGCATTCCCCCCACTCTCCATGTTGGGGCAATTGAGAGGCAACCAGAAAATTTTGCTTCCAAAGGCTGATTCCTTGAATCGGTCCATTCTTGTACCAAGGGATACCTGTATTCAGAGGCATGGGAATACAAGACAGATCCTGACCTGTTTCCTTCTATTTCCAACTGAGAATTACTGGGCACCTTCTCCACGTTACACCTGTGGTAGAGTAGAAAGAACACTAGAGTCAGAAGACCTGGATCCTCCTCCCCACCTGGCTCCTTCCTCCCAGGCTGGGCCGCCTGGAGAACTCATTTCCCTTTCCAAGCCTGTCTCCTCATCTACCTGTTTGGTTGGGAAGATCACACAGGGTGATGTTTGAAACCGCCATCTGAAGAAATACAAAATTCTCCAAAACTGAGGGGAAATGTATTTCCTAACCTCTCTGGACTTTTCCCACTTTGTCCTGTTCCCTTAGCCCCATTTCCCTCCACACATATCCCATCCATGGTTCGAGAAACAATGGAGGACTGGTGACCACTTGCTAGAGGTCTGTGAGATCCTGCAAAGGTGATGTCAGCCCATCTGCATCTGGCACCTCATTTTTATGATGGGGATGATACTTACCTCAGAGAGTGGCTGGTGACATTAAGTAGGATAAAGCGGCTTTGGTACAGCAGCCAGCATATAGAGGGTGTTCCAAGCATCAGCCAATTTCAGCCTCCGAACACCAACTATGCAGGCAGCTCTGCTTCCTAGAACTCTGTTCTTTTTGAAGGGATCACTGAATGAGTGATCTTCAACTGGAAATGAAAATAAGCTGCCACCTGAGGGCTTCGTCCTTCTACAGGCCTCTTCAGATGAGGATTTTTGACACTGTGATGTGAGTGTTCCTTTGTGGGGTGGCAGAGAGCAGCTGTCAGGTTGGACACATCCTAGAAAAACCCTCTGTCCCATCTAGATCTTACTCTAGGCAAAGACGGCACCCTGTGGCAGACATGGCCTACGCCCGCCCTCCACAGAGCTGCTGCCTCACTCTGCCTTTGAGACCAAGGCATTCAGAGAGGGACCAGCAAGAACTGTGGAGCGGAGGTGTGAAAGTGCATGCTGTATTCCAAATATACAGAATTAATTGGAATGTTGAAGGCACACAGAAGACCAGGAACACGCTGGAAAAACAAAGCTGGCAAGGTTAGGTTCAGAAGGTGAAAATGTTTTTCCTATACTAGGGGAAGCTATTAAAAATTCTAATTGTTATTTTTTTTTGTGTGTGTATGGTACTAGGGATTGAACCCAGGGGACTGAACCCAGGGGTGTTCCACCACTGGGCTATTTTTCCTGTCCTTTTTATTCCTTATTTTGAAACAGGGGCTTGCTAGCTTGCTCAGGCTGGCCTCAAATTTGTGATCTTCCTGCCTCAACTTCCCAAGCAACTGGGATTACAGGCACCACACACAGCTGAAAGTTCTTAAGTAAGAGGAGATGACATGATCAGATCATGTGCTTCAGAAAGAAGGCAGGATGAGGAACGAACTGTAGGCAGGACACACAGACAGACAGCAGCTGTCCCGGGCCCAGCCAAGGGTGAAAGAGCCTAATGAAGATGGCCTGAGAGGAGGCAGAGGAAGGAGCTCCTTGGAGAGGGTTCTGAGTATGTCCAAGAGACTTGTGTCTGTGTATGTCAGAAATAAGGCCCAGAACTGGGAAAACTTCTGGTTTCACATTTGGGACCTCAGGCTTATGATGGTATTGGCCAAAGGATCTGGAAGCTGAACCAGACCATGTCATCTAGAAAATGTAATAGTGAAGGAAGACAAACCTGGGAACGACTAACACTCTGCCACGAATTTTACAGAATATGCTTATATTCAATCCAGAGACAGACAGGCCTGATTCTATGATCTGGGTCTGAGATTACAACTCAATGGGGACACCAGGTTCTGAACAAAGGGAATTCTAACAGAATAATTTCAAATCATTCTGGTAAACAGTACACATAAAGTCAGAAATCTGATTGTACTTCATTTTTTCTTTCTAAGCCAAACAAAAACAACAAAGAATGCTAAGTAATGACAGATTTGGTTCTCACGTGTGTGGTACTGTTTTCAGAAAGAGAGTGAACACTGGTATGAACAGTTCATTGGATTGAAGCCTTATGATAATAATCAATGTGAGAAAGTCTTCAACCCAGGAGAGACCTAAATGCACTTCTAGTGGGATACTTTGGACAGAAAACCTTGGAGCAAGTTAACATTTTGTTTTAATCAGAGTCTAGCCCTTCTGGAGAATGGGTTGATTATAAGTGGGCCTTCAAAAATAGTAACTTACTCTTACAATAAGGGAAATAATTCAAGTTATTATCCAGTATGTACAGGAGTTAAACAAGTACTATTAGTACAATTAGATGTATAGAACACCAAATCCTAAAAATAAAAGGTACTAGAATGGAATGAAATTGTTGCCTTTATTTTCTCAGAAGAAGGTCATTATAATGGGCTAATATTCCCCCTTCCCCCAAATGACCATAAATTCCACATATGGCCATTGTATCCTCATATAATGGGGCTCACATGACCTTGCCTTCCTTGAATTCCCCAGGCCCATTCCAGGATATCAGAACAAGAGCGTTGCCCTCCACTGTGTGGCGAACTTGCAGGGGCACATGCCTGGAGTGCTGGCTTTGTGGCTGGGTTCAGCAATACAGGCTGGAAATAACAATGTGGGAAACATTTCCAGGATGAATGAATGATTTCCCCCCAATGAAAGGAGAGCTAAATTCAGAACAAGCTGAGGCCTACTATGATTCCTAGAGATACCATCAGCCTTATTACAATCAGAGGCAGGAGGAACACAGGCCCAGCCTGGGAAAGAGTAGAGTCTGAAGAGTGAGAGGGAGGCAGGAACTGCGTGGCTGCCATCCCTGTGGCCCCACTTTGTGCCAGCAGTGATCACTGCATCCCTCTTCAAAGCTGGACCTGAGCTGGGCATGGTGGCACACACCTGTAATCCCAGCAGCTGAGGAGGCTGAGACAGGAGAATCATGAGTTCAAAGCCAGCCTCAACAAAAGCCAGGTGCTAAGCAACTCAGTGAGACCCTGTCTCTAAATAAAATGCAAACAGGGCTAGGGATATAGCTTGGTGGTCTAGTGTCCCCGAGTTCAATTTCTGCTACCCTCACCCCTCCAAAAAAAAAGTTGGACCTGACATCCACACTCTGTGCCAAGAAGAATACACCTGCAAATAACTCATCTTCATATAATTGGGAGAGTGGGGAGGTGAGGACACTCTACTCAGACTCTGCTTCCAGATTCTTCAGTAATGAGAACAAAGCTTGCATTGGAAAAGCAAGGCTTAATAAATGCAGAACAAAGCTCCTGATAGGAGGGTTGATAAAAAGAGCATATCAAGGCGCTTCAAATGAGTTCAAGTGTCCAGTTGCAAACTAATTACATCCTGAAAGAGTGTGTAGATTGCTTCTGCTAATAATGTGTAGGAAATCACAGAGAATGGAAATGGAATCAGAAGACTGGAGATAAGAAAATGTCCCAATTTCAAAATGAGAAAGAAAACCTGAGACTGTTATACTTGATGTTGACCCTTGGTAAAAACTTAGAAGAAATTATTCAGATACCATGGGGCTATTTAGAAAAGATAAATAACATCATTAGGTACCCGTAGGAGGTCTCTAAGAAAAAGCCAGGGCAGGCTAACCTCATTTCACTTTTTCCGCAGGGTTTCTGGGTTGATAGATCGATTGGAGAGGCTACAAACATGTTGTATCTTGGCTTTAGCCTTTCCTGATAACCTTGAGAAAAGTTATATAAATGTAGGTGATAAGGAGGCATGACCTTATGAGTTGACTGATGGTTCATCAAATTGCAGGATTACTGATATGTATATTCATGTCAGCCTGCTGTGATTTTCAGGGGCATGTCATAGAGCCCTGTCCTCTGACCTTTAGAATACCTCAACAATAATTTATATTAAATCTTTAGATGACAAAAATTGAGAAAAGCAAAAATACATAATTTTTCTCAAAAAATGGAATATAAATTTAGAGTTACATCAATAGGCAAGAACAATGAGACCAAAAGCAATAAGGAGGAACAACACATGGATAAGTATAAAATAAGTAGGTCAAAAAACGTAACGCTCAGTTCAAGGCTAACCTTGGCATCTTTTGTTTGAGAAAAGACCTGCACGTGTGTTTGGTGGGGGAGTGGGATTTTCACCAAGTCATGTGTTAAACGTAAATTAACTCTACCATCAAGGCTGCTGGAAAAAATTAAAACACTCCTGCGTCCTGTTAACCGAATTTTGGTGTCCTGAATAAGCAAGGTAATCACCCCCAGCTGCCAAAGTACCTTTGGAGTTCTGGGTGCCATGTTTCAAATGGGACACTAAGAAAAGAAGAATGTGCCTGTGGAGGTGGACTAGTAGGACTAAAGTCACACTCAGAGAGCAAAGGGAGGTGTTTCAATCTGAAAAAGGTCCTGCGCTTGAGATGCCCACTTATAAATATTTTAAACGACATTTCTTGGATGAGACTGAATTCACTCTCTGAAGGCACAAGTAGAACAAACAGTTAAGAAGTCAGAGGGCTGATCTATTTTAATGTAGGAAATAACTACTGGGTTCAGAGCTGTCCTTCAGTGTCATGAACTGCCTCCTACAACAGTGAGTGTCCAAGGGAAGGCTGGAGTTCCTGACTGTCAGAGGGTGCAGAGGGACACAGAGATCGGACCAAGCAGAGCCAAAGTCCTTTCCAACTTTAAGAATGCCTTTAGGTCTCTCTTTCACCTTTAGCTAACTAGGAATAGGTCACACCTCTGGGTTTGAAATAGTTCCCCTAGACCCTACTCTGCACCATCTTTTTATTTTTTTTTAACTTTATTTTTTTAAGTGGTGCTAAGGATCAAACTCAGTACCTCGCATGTGCTAGGCAAGTGCTCTACCTCTGAGCCACAACCCCAGCCCTACTCTGTACCATCTTATTCTATATCTCACCCCAGGGGTAATTTTAAATGGCGCGAATGCAATTTGGGATGAATCCCTTTTCAAAGAAACAGTCACAGGTTAAATATTAGATGAACTGGGAATATGATTCTGTAAAGCCTTCTAACAAAGCAGAAAACAAAGCATGCTAAAACAAGTCAAAACAAAGCCTTCCAGTACTACTGGATATAAAGTTTTCTATTTGGGGAAATTAAATGATGAGAACCAGTAGCAGCAGACGAGCACCACCTCCGGTAGCAGCTCATTTATGAATCACACAAAATCACTGGTTCTTCAGGGTCACATTTTTAAAAAGCACCCTTCTTTTTTAAATGAGACCCAACACTGAATACAAAGCAATAAATAGACAACTGAATTATCTTAGGTCTTTATAAAAAAATCAAGACACATCTGTCCCAGAATCATGCAAGAACTTTTGAACAACTGCCTCATGAGAGCTAATTACTTCTTATGTATCTGTTAAATATAGATGGCAATTCTTATTTAATATACTGCTAATCTACCCACCGTCGGGGCCCTGACATAGGACGGAGGTGGTGGGGGGGGTTAATGCAGGTGGTTATTTCTTTTCCAGATACGTTGAGTTACTATATTAGTAACTAACTTTAATGGCACAAAAATCTCAACAGCGAGATGTACATTTCCCAGTAGCATTTTCTAAAATGAACCAAAAATATGACACTGTATCTAATTAAGGCCCTCCTAATTCGAGTGCCTCCTACTTGAGAACCAAGTTTGGTAAGAGAAATAAAAAATATAAATAGAGTCAGTGCTTTTTCTAGAGGATCACTAATATGAAATATACATGAAACATTCAGTGGTAGGGAATTTAGTACATAGTCTAAAGTACCTGAACGTGGGCACTAACAGAAAGAGTCCCAGGAACTTAAGAAAAAAAGTAAATACACAAATGAGTAAATAAAACCAGGAAAAAGGGAAGGGAAAAATACTTAATACCTGTACGCCAAAAAAATTAAATATCCTTTACCTACAGTATAACTAAAGACTTGTTCAACAGTCCCAGGGAAACTGCATTCTGTTTCTGGAAATAAAACCATGGAAACCAATATCAGCAAGGGCACTTTCTTTTTCTTTCTTTCTTTTTTTTTTAAACATGTTATCATTTTTTAATACCTTTATTTTATTTTTTTTATATGTATGTGGTGCTGGGGAGCAAACCCAGTGCCTCACATATGCTCAGCTCCACCACTGAGCCACAACCCCAGCCCAAGGACACTTTCTTCACAGTGCTCAGAGGTCTCTTCACCTACCTGATTAACCACTCACAGTCTCAAACGCTGATTATTAATAATTAAACTGTTTAAAGGACCTAGGTGATATTGACTCATCCACAACTACAATTCCAGAGGGCAACTGAATCTCAAGCAAGTCAGTTAGCCAGGTGTCCCACAGCTAGTGAAAGCCAAAGTCAGCATTCAAAAGCAGGCAGATAGGTGAAGAGAAGAGCTGTGCTCCAAGCCAGGATACTATGCTTTACTGAGGCTAAAAGGATAGACCTTATACTACCCTGCATTTTGGGAGGGTTTCTAGGAAAGCAGTCAGCTTACAGCCATGTACACCATCAAGTAACAAACTCGAGGGCTATGGAGCTAGAGTTGATATGAATGAGGTAGAAAATGGACGGTGATGAATGGCAACTCACACTCTATACAGGGGAGATGGTGGGGAGTAATGGGGATGGTGGTAACTGACAGCTTCATGCCCCAAATAAAGAGGATGGCCACTTCTTCACTCCTGTTGATTGCATCCTTAGGGAGTGTGTGGCAGAGTGTGCCCACTCTGCCACACACTCCCTAAGTTTTTAAGTTTTTCAAAAAGGTGGACTGGGTAGACAAGAAATGTACAAATTTTATGGACTGGTTTTGAAATGCATTTGCTCCTCCTATGACCCCCTTAAAAACCAAATAGAACAATCACTTGGCAGCACATGGTCCACCAGTGACTGACCTCTACTATGTCATTAAAGGAAGACACAGCCATCACTCTGGAATCAGAGGCCCAGCTTTAAGTCTCCAAAGTCATCCTTGGGCCTTCTCAGAATTACAACAGCCCCCAGACTCATTCTGCGAGAATGAACAAAATGCCTGTTAAATATCCAGGCACATCTGGTCAGAGAAACAGATGTTATACTCTCCTGAGACAAAAGAAAAAAAAAAAAAAGCTAGAAGAATGTGCATGCAGAGTGATACTCTCTCCTCAGTAATAATTTCCTTACACCAGGGGCTGATAAAATAAGGTGTAATAATCCAAACTTCCCGTCTATGGGAAATCTAGAAGCAGAGCTGGGGGTGAGCAGAAACTTGGCAGACAGTTTCTTGGTTTCTTGGTTTACATGAGGAAGTCTTTATGTTCACTCTGGGCAAAGACTGGATTTGTGGGATTGCCATCACTCCCCTTTGTCGGTGAACAGCAGATCCAAACTCACTGTCATGGGGCTGACCCTTGGTGGCAAATTCAGAATTCTTAAAGGGGATTTTGTTTTGTTTTGTTTTGTTTTTAATTTCAGGAAAATACTAAAAACAGAGCATGAACCCTAAGAGATCTGGGTGGGCAAAAGGGGCAAGAAATTCTGACCCTTTTCACAGAGGTTTTCTCCTACCCATTCCCCTTCACCATTTCTGAGAACTCCTTACAGCCAAGAAAATCTTACCAATAAAACCTCAGGGTGGAAAGTTTATTACTTTTTTGTTCCTGAATTTTTATAACAAGTTCTCCCTTCTTAGTATCATGCGTGTACCAAAACCACAATGAAAGACTAAAATCACAATTTACTTATTTGTGTTAAACACATCCAGGTGTACAGAGAAACACCTAGGTTAATATCAAAAATCTCTGGTAACTAAAAACTGAATAATACCACTATGAAATTTAGAAACCAAATCATCTGTTTGGTTTCCTATGTTTCAACAGAAATGAGATGCTATCTTCAAATGAAAACACCGTCACATGATTATCAAGTGAAAACCAAATCAATTAACCAACATCAGTTAACCAAAATGCAGCCTAACTAGTTTGCCTACTGTATAGGGCTGATGGACACCTTAAAATGTCTGTTTTGGTTTTCAAATAATTATTCATTGTTTAAAATGACCCGGGAAGTGTCCAGTGATATTCCCACAGCTCATATCCAGAAGTTCCATGAAAAAGAGTGAATGTGCTGAAATATCAGGCTGACTAAGTAGAATCACGAAGATGACAACTCAAAGAAGTGCTCAGAAACCCAAGGGTGAGAAGGACAGAGAGAACAGTACTTCAAGGAAACATCGATATGGTTTTCAACAGTGCCTTAGACTTGACATATTTACTTTAAATACATGAGGATTCTCCTTTCTCTAACAAGTCAACCTCCAAAGTGACTTCACTCTATCATCCCAACCCCTCTGACAGCAACGGTATCATTTCCGAGGTCCTTAAAGGATCCTTTTTCCAGTTTAAATTTAAGATTCTGTTATCTAAACTCATTTCCTATCTAAACTCATTAATAATACATGGTGAAACATCGTACCACATAGCAATAGTGGCCATCCGACATGGCACAAAGTGACTCACACCTTTGGAGAGAAAGCCATGAAACACACAGACAGACCTTTCAACCCACATATGCAGCTTCATGAATCTGGCTTAGGCAGTGTCACCAGTGCTGCTGGCGGATGATGATGGTGGAGGTGAAGGAGTGAAGCACTCACCTGTCTTTGTAGTTTATCACAGTATCAATGATGGCATTCATCTGCTTTGTCAGTTTGGGGGGGTTTGGGGAGAGTTTCTCAGCTGGAGGGCGGCCTCTTCTCTTCTTAGCCTTTTCTACATCTTCCTTTGCCGGATCTTTTTCCACGTTTCTTCGTCTTTTTCTCTTCTTAAGCCGCACTTCCTCTTCCATTTCTTCCAAATTTCCGTCTTCGATGGCCTATTAATCAGAAACAAAAGGAGAGATACTCAAGACAGGAAAATAATCCAGACCAGTTACATACATTTATTTAAGATATACATATACACATGTGTATATATGTGTGTATATATATATACACACACACACATATACATACACACTGTGTGTATGTATATCTTGAATAAATAAAATAAGATGAAACTAGCAAAAAAATAGAAGTTTACAGTAATCAATGAAGGAAGAAGAAAAAAACCACCACCACCATATTGGATAAATGCATCTTTAAACCAAGTCTGTTTCATAAGCAAAATATGTTGAAGGCCTGAGACACTCATGGTAAAGATCTGACAAAAAATTAAAACATCTATACATTCAAGTGCCTGAAGACCACTGAATCCACATGAAATTTTAGCTCAATATGAGAAAAAAAGACTCTCATTGTCTCATTACAGTAAGGAGGAAAGGTAAACAAACAAGGAGGGGTGGGTGAAGAAACAAAATTCCCCTAAGAATACACCCATACAATCAGACAAGCTTTGACCTTTTCTTCTGTAAGGTTTTACATCAATTTAGTCATGATTCACAACATAAAATCAAAATTCTATCCAGAGTTTGTTCTAACGTAGCAATTAGTAAACAAGGGAACGGGAAGTACAAAGCCACATTCCTTGGTAAACACACTTAAATCACCCGATAAAGAAAGAACACACACACTCACAAACAACAAACACTTTTTTTCCAATTACCTGCAAACGCTTGCTTTAAACCAGAGCCAGCAGCACTAATGCAGAGAGATAATAAAATAGCTATAAAAACAACCAGGTATAAAAGAAACCTGTTCATAAAGGGCTAAAAGATCCATGTGACAGACCCAGAAGTTTAAACTTTTTTTTTTTTTTCCTGGTAAGTCTCAAAACTTAAGAAGAAAAATACAGGGGAAAAAATGGGAGGGGGGAGAAGAACACAAAAACACACAGAGAGATAAAAGAAAATCTGATCATAGAAAAAGAAATTTTCTAAAAAAATCTTCAAATTACATTTTGAGATTGCTTTCTCACACAAAATAACTGATGTTGTTATTTGTTCCTCCTGCCTCTCAATATTGCCTCCAGTATGCAAATGCTAATCAATCCTTTCTCGTAGCTGAAAGAGCTCTAATCATAAGGCAATTACCTTCATTTCTCCACAGCACCAAACATGGCTAATATTTATGATCATGTGAGTATAACAATCAATATAAAGAGTGATTACAGCTCAGACATAATTTCTTTCACTTATGTACAATGCCTCCTGCAAAAAGAAAGGTTTTGTGAAGAAAACCTGGTACAGAACACAAAACAACCTGGCATGTTAAAAATGCCACTGGGATTAAAAAAATGTTTCCTATGCATCCTCCAAATGTGCAAATCCATAGAAGCAACATGCACACAGACAGAATCCTCAGGGACAGCCTGAGCCTAGGCCTTAATAATCAAAAGACAATTTCCATCACGATCCTACAGTGTTCAGATAACCAGTATGAAGGAGGCGAGAGCTGATGAGTTATGAGGAAAAAGAAAAAGAAAGGAGGAAAAAAAAAAAAAAAGCTCCACATTATTTCATTAATATTCATTTGCCTAAAAAGCAGGACACCCACTATACAGCTAAACACACTGCAGCTAAGCGAAGACTGAGAAAAGGAAATTGTCCCGCATATCTTGGAGGCTGAACATGCTAATAATAAATACAGCATGCAAGGCTGTCAACAGTTAATGGTATTGCTCTCCTCAAGCACCCAGTCGCACACAGAAATACGGAGAACACCGGCTTCTGATGTGTTACACACCTACACATGCCTGGGATGTACTTCTACTGAATCTTCAAGACGGCAACGAAAAAGGATATTTACCTTACCACTATCAGCAGGCCGGCTATCGGAAATCACAGTTAGTGGGGATAAAATTAACAAGCCAGCAAAGCAGCGAGCTGCTAGTCTCTTCATCAGCTGATCAGGAAAAAAAAGAGAGCTGGGAAAGGCTATGTTTTCATATACAAGTAATTTTATTTTACTGAAAATTTAATACTGAAAGGATTGTGGATACTCAAATCTGCTGTTTCATTCTACCTACTACAAGGCCCGAAGCCTTCCTCCTTCAGCCTGTTTTAATATTGACAACTACTTATCATATTTTTTTCCCCCTTATTATTCCAGGCAGCAGAATTAGAGATTTTAGCTCAGGTGGTTTCTGATTCTCGCTCGAATTTTAGCAATTAAGCCAATAAGAAAACAAATTAATATTCAAATTTTATTTTAAAAATAGAAACAAGGTATGCTTTCTTTTTGTATTTTATACCTCATTCTTGTGCTTTTTTTAAAAAAAAATATGCTGCATGGTTTGGGAGCAGTCAAACAATTTTTAAAACAGAAGACAATTTTTTTTTTCATTAGATGCATGTAAGTAAAAGCAATGTGCATGTTCTCAGGTTCAAATATTTTAAAACAATGTTATTCTTCTCTTTAAAGAAAATCCCGAGCAACTGTGATACTTCACTTTCAGTTTCATGCTGTAAAATTTTTCATTGTTTTTCTTTTCAGTGGGATAAAGGAAGAGGGGCAAGTTGTGAACAGACTATTTTACTCTCACCCCCTTTAATTGTGGAAAAAAAAAAAAAAGGAACAAAGCATAAGCTTGTGATATTTGGACTTTTAAATCTAGAAATCAGTGAGTAGCTAAGAAGCTAAAACAAATTAAATTGCAAACAGAACTAGTGAAAGATGTTTATTACAATTGCTAATACGTGCAGATTGTTATTAAATCTAGGTCCTGGAATGACAAGGAAACACACAAAGTACTGACCATTATTCCCCTTAAATTAAGGCTTTATGCAGGAATGCAGAGAGCTACAAAACACCTTCCCTCCTCCCTCCCCAAAGACCCCAACCACATCCATATGCAGTGCGTCAGGCTCTGATGGCTGAGGGTCTCTTTCTAATGGAAATCAATTCACTACATATTTCCCAATGCTTTTCGCACTTAAAGGGTAGAGTAAGATTTCTCCTGCTTGTCAGGAAAATTCTTCATGGAGATAAACTGTTCTTTTGTTTTAAGAGATTATTTATTAAACTAGCTCAACTGACTCAACTCAGCGCTGGAGGGGGGGGGGCACAAGAGAAAAAAAAACAAAACAAAACAAAAAAAAAACTTGCTACACAATGCTAAAAGTACTACCCCATAAAAGAATTCCCTTCCAAACCTTTTACCAGCACAATAATGAAATAAATCACAGAAGCAAACCCCCAGTTTCCGACTGGTGACGTGTTGCGCAAGAGTGCGAGCCCTAATTCAACATACAGAAGGCTCCCATGCCGAACTGCCTCTAGATTTAATGAAGTGAATAGGAAGGAAGTCGGGGAAAAAAAGTGTACAAATAAGAAATTAACACTTTCCTTCCCTACCTAAACGGTGTGCTACAACTACAGCGAAGTTTGGTGAGGCACCTCTTTCCTTAAAGGCACACTGCACCCATTTGGCTCCGGATGTCACGAAAAAAAGCCCCATATGGTGATAAAAAAAATCCCCAGCCAAGTTAAAAGAGTTAAGCATATTTCAGCCAGCGTTTTCCTGAATGAAGCTGGAAATTACTCCTTCCTCCACTGGATGGCAACCTTTATTCCCCCCCCTTTCTTTCTCTCTCTCTCTCTCTCTTCTTTCTTTCAATTTTGCTTAAAAGAAAAAGGCATTTTCATGACACAAGGATGTGCAAGAGCAAGATGCAGACTGGCTCCCTCTTCAATTAGTGCTTAAGAAAGCAGCATGGGGGTTCTGACATGCAGGAGACAGTCGCGCAGGATTTAGCTGCTTTCTAGAGGAAGCACTTTGCAGCTTGCAAAGCACATGGCAGACCGGGGGAATCGGCCACACGTGGTTCCAGTCGTGGACCTCTGTCATCATGACACACACCAACTACATCTTTTATTAAATGATGGAAGGTCCAGAAAGTAGGCATTGTGCTTGTTCTCAGCCCCGCTGGGGTAATGAGGTGCTATTATATGTGACTTCACAATGCCACAGCAGAAGGGACAAGCACACAAAAAGCCACAAGCCAACTCTGGCGCATTGTTTCCATCTCTGCATCTCCAAGTCCACCAAGCAGCTCAGCACAGCCTTCACAGCAGAACACACCACCTTAAAAAACATCTAAAGGAGCCATTCTAAAGATATTCAGACAATACACAGGAAATTCCTTCCATGTTTAATGGGAAGATCAGTATTCCAATTCAGATATTTAAATATCACAATTGTTACTGCCCAATGACAGTGACATTTCTCCCTGGGGGCGGTGGGGGTTCTTCCTCTCTTAGAAATTCTACTGAGGACCCCAAGATGCCGCAGGGGTGGGAGCAGGTTCGAGAAACCAAGGAAACTGGTTTCTAAAGACAATTACTTCATAGGAGAGCTTTCTGAGGACAAGCGCTGATCAGCAAAACCTCCCTCAAGCCCTGCTGAGACCTTGCAAGACAGTAAAAGGTAATGACCCTCCAAACTGGAAGAGAAATCATAAACAAAAAAGGTAGAACTTTAAAGAAAATTTAAACTACCATGTATGAGGAATGTTCTCATAATAGGAATATTAAATAACAACAACAGACACAAAGCTCTCCCTCAAAGATGCCCCACCACCTTAGTCACTTAGGGTAAAACCAACTGCAGATCTTTTGGATGCAGAATTTCATACTTAGGGTTTTGATTAATGATAGTTGTTTTTTTTTTTTTTTTTTTTTTTTTTAGTTTGTTTGTTTCTTAATTATTACCATCTTTGAAAGTAGCCTGTTAGAAATGAATGCATAAAGGAATGTAGTTCAGTGGTAGAGTACTTGCCTAACATGCAGAAAGTCCTGAGTGGACACCCAGCACCACACAATACAAAATGTATGCACAAAATTGAATTCCCTAAAATGAAATAAGGCGGAGCCAAAACGACAAATAGTGTATGATCCCATTCAAAAGAGAAAGGAGGACAGTGATTGGCGGGGTAGA